CCTGGTGTCACACTGGAGGGTATGTTGGTTCCAGACATACTGTAAGTTCTGCCAGGTATCACGTGGGAGGATATGTCCATTGATGACCCAAAACCTGTTCTGCCTGGTGTCACACTGGAGGGTATGTTGGTTCCAGACACAGTGTAGGTTCTGTAGGGTCTCACACCAGCAGCTGTGTTGCTTCCAGACACAGTGCAAGTACTGTGGCATATCACATCGGAGGATAGGTCAGTTTCAGGTTGCAGCAGCCAGAAATCTTGGCCATAACTCTGGCGTTTTGGTGCACAGCTAAAATGTCGTTGTCTAGGCTCTCTCCATTGTGCTGAAATAAGAAAAAGAATGGAAAACAAGAGAGAATCTGCATTTGCTGTTAAATACACAGTACGTCACAAAGGTACGTATGTGAAGTACTTGTAAATGTTTGGATCTTGTCTTAAGTCCTTATTTGAAACACAGGACACCTGATTATAGATATTATTCTTTAACAGACAAAGGACATTAGCGCAAGTATCCTGCCTTAGGTAGGGTTGGAAAACAATAGCTGTTTATTTGAAGTGCTACAAATACTTACAGATGTAATTTACCCTCATGATTGCTAGGGTGTGCTTTTTAATCAAGTAAACAAACTTATTCTACAATCTCTCTGTCACTGTTATTGGGGAACACTTGCCCTGTAAGCCACAGAAGGGACTGATTTACTTCTGGACATGTTTCACCATCAGTTGAAATCAACACTTAATACTCTTCAAGTATTAGTTAGGCATATTGTTACAGGCAACATGTAAAATAACTGTATTATTCAAATATGTTGCAATAGTCTGACAAGTTAAAAGGTCACATAACAAGAATACTGAGTATCGAACAATTTTTTCATAGAAAAGGCCATTTCTTTACCAAATATACTGTGTTTTTTAACACCTTGTCCAAAGTTACGTAATGTGATTTATAATATAAGTTTCATATTGTTATCATTTTAAGCTGTGTGATTTCTACTATTTGGTTCCAGCTATTACTTGTGTAAGCAAAGCCACATGACAAAGTGAGCCTTTGTACTGGGATACCTGCATTCCTTGGCTATGCCAATAATGTTGCCAAGGGATGGCCAGTTGATTAAAATCAGGTAAGGATTGCAAATACTCCAGTATTTGTTGTAAAAAAGTAGTTTCTGGGAGACATCACAGCTTGGTGTGTTCAGCATTATAAACCCTTCCAGCTTAATAAATGTTGTCAGTGCGCTCTTCTGGTTTTGTCTTTACTGGTATCTCCATTCTTTAATGTCTGCAATCATCTCAATAGTTGGGAAATTCTCTTTTGTGGCCTATCTATGTTGGTTTTGCAAGGGTCAGTTTTTGGTGAGGAGGGAAGAAGCCAGCCATGGAAATGATTTTTCTGTGAGGAGCTGCTAAAAGCTTTCTCCGTGCCCAGCAAAACCAATCACCAACTGCCTCTTAGAATAGGCACACTGCTAAGCCAATTAAAAAAGCCAGTAATGTCTCTACGATAATTTATTTACAAAAGACAAAACCTTGGGAACTCCCTTTTCCTTCCTTGGAGGGGTGGGTAGGTGCTGGGGCCCTCCCGGCTTGGGGCTGGCCATGTGGCCAGGACCGTGCAGCCAAGATTGGCATTGCTGGGGCAGCACCATGCAGTTGCAGCTATCTCAGCATGGCTTGAAATGAACTTTATTTGTTTAGCTGCTTTTAGCCAGCCATGCCGCGAACAGAAGGGCAAAAGGCTGTGGCAGCGGCTTTTTTTTTCCTTTTCAGTGCTCTGCATGAAGAGAGGCGCTGAGTGGAGCCAGCAAGGCCCATGTGGTGTCCGTGGGAACCACGTGATCAGCAGTGACAGGCATGGTGAGCAATTCCCCAATGTGGAGCCTGGACCGGATCAACCTTTCAACGCTGAAGAACTCTGTAAAACTTTTCAACTTGCTAGAACTTGAGAACAAACAATATGAACACTAATTCTCTCCCAAGTCAGAGAAAAGGTGAAGACCTGTGAGGAGAACAACATGGTGACACTAAAGTCAGTGCAGAAAGATGGAGGGGGAGGAGGAGGTGCTCTGGGCCTCAGAGCTGAAATTCTCCTGCAGCTGTGGTGAGGACTATAATACAACAATCTATTTCCCCGTGGTTCATGAAGTGCGTGGGGGAATGCAAAATTCACTCACAGCCTTTGAGAAAAAGGTGCTCACGCTGGAGTGCGTGGATGCCGAGAAGCTGTGATCTGGTGAGAGACTTGAACAGAGAGAGAGAGAGGCAGAGAACCCTTGCTTCCAGAGAGAGACAAAAAACCCCTTGCTTTTATACTAGAACAGCTTAAAACAAAACCCCTATGAACTAAATGGCCCAGGAAAAAAGCAGTTGTGGGCAGAATGCTGTCCATGGGAGAGACTCACACTGCAGCAGATTTGGGCAGGGCTGCTACTCTTGAAAATTAGAACCATGTTGGAAAAGTTCACAGAGAACTGTCTCCCATGGGAAAGACCCCATGGCATAGCAAAAGAGACTCCTCACCCTAAGCAAATTGAAGAAAGGTTTTTAGAAGTGACAAACTGACTGAAAACCCCATGTTTTTGTCTCCCTGTGTTGTCAGTGGGAAGGAAAGAAGGACTGGAGGAGGAGAAAAGTGGTTTTAGTTCCCATTATCCCTTTTTAATTCTGTTAATAGATTTTTCTTTATATATTTGAAAGTTTTGAGCCTGTTTTGCCCTTAAAGTGTTTTCCTCCTAATCCTTATCTCACCTCATGAGCTTTTTAATTGTTCTTTCCCCCTCTTCTGCTCAACTATGGCAGAGGAGAATAGGTAAATGATTTTTTTGTAGTTACAAATAAACATTTGCCAGTATCAAACCCACGACACGATCAGATTTTACTTTGCTTACTACCACTGTAAGAACATTCACACATTTCAAAGCAAACCATCCAGTATAAACAGTACTAAGAAAAAGTTAAAATTATTTGAGGTCCAGATTTACCGAACTCTGTTCTACACTATTTCCAAGAAAAAAATGAAAGACAGAGGGCAACCAGAAAAAAACCCAGTCTGATGAACTTCTACAACTTTGGAGAAAGTAAAGTTTAAAAAGCAAGGAAATGCAAAGAAGTGAAATGCTTATTGTTGCAAGGAATGCCTATTACAAAATTGTTAATGGGTTGAAACAGAAAGAAAGGAAGCCACCTTTGGTTAAAAAAAAATAAAGAAAAAAAAGAAGAAAGGAAGTATTTAAAAACAGTAATAAAAGAAGAAAAAAAAACTAACACTGACCCACCTGCCAACAACACTACCCAAAACCAAAAAAATCCAACTAACCAAGCAACCAAACACAATAAAAAATAAATATATGCAAGCTAATGCGGATGACTAGAAAAAAGAAACTACAAAAATTTAAGTACAAAAAATTACAAAAATATTAATCTCTGTCTTATAACTTTCTGTTCTGAAAAATGTCTCAGAACGTTTCTGTTTGCACTAGTTGTATTGCTCCACTATGTTTAGCTGTAAATATTGCTGTATTGGCCTGCAGAGTCCGTGCAGCATGAAAGGAGATGCTGGCTCTGAACCCACATCCAAATGACTCTAATTGCTTGAAAAGCAGATTCACCGTCAGGAGCAGGACCACGAGGTGTACTGGTTCCTTGGGGTACAAAGTGAGACCGAAGAGATTCTGCTTGGAGAAAGTAAATTTGATTCAGAGGAAATACATTTTAAAACCAATGCAATGCACAGAACAGAAATGGTTGTGGTTTCAAGGAAAGGCTATTATAAAAAAGTTAATGGTTTATAAGTGAAAGAAGGGAAAAAGCTTTTCGTAAGAAAGAAAGAGAAAGAGAAGGAGAGAGAGAGGCGGGGAGGCAGGGAGGCAGGCAGGCAGGGAGGAAGGAAGGAAGGAAGGAAGGAAGGAAGGAAGGAAGGAAGGAAGGAAGGAAGGAAGGAAGGAAGGAAGG